GTTGTTGAAAGTAAAAATAACTTCCGTTTACAAAAGCATATTTTTCAATGTAAAAGTCTTTACTGCAGTACTGACTCATAAAAACAGTGTCTTGTCGCCATCTAATGGCGGAACAATGTAACTAAAATCACCATCACGAACACTCGCACCATGTCTCGGTAATAAACACTATTATTAAATACTATTAATATTTATATAAAATACTATTTATTGAATAATCATATTTAATAAACAACACAACAGCCAGCATAAAAGTTTCTAGGCAATCCAGTCAACCGTACAAAGGCAGCACGATATACTGTAGGGCAGGCTATACAGCATTGAATTTACATAAACATGATAAGATTTTGCTAAAACTATTTGCTCTGGAACAAATAATAGTTTAATTAGACCAAAGACTGCCCGTTAGATTTACCCAAAACGAATTATATCTCATGTTTAACCACTGTAGAGACATCAGAGCCAGCGGTAAATTCCAGAAGATCTGGCCGCGGTGAGGTGCTCTCGGCGTGTGTAATGAGCGCTGAACGGCCGCTGGAGCTCACGTCTCCGAAAACGTCAAAGCAAATTTCCAAACAGACGTTATCTTTATTAACAAACGTATTATTATTTGACGTCCCAGCAAGCACATTCTCGCCTAAAAAACTCTTAAAACTGCATTTCGTGACACAAAACAGTATTATTTTTAAAACTATGGTGGATTTGGGCATCCGCCGTGACACTCGCTGTGAGAAATACGGCAACTTCGGCAAGTGGAGTGAAACGGTGAAGAGGTCGAGGAGCACTGTTGGACTCTAATATCGCACTCCTATCAGCCAATCAGATTCGAGAACCAGAAAGAACTGTTGTATAAATATATATATATCCAGCATTTGAACATCAGTGTAAGAATCAGCAAGCATGCTCAATGAAACAAACTTCATAATATTAAAATACATGCAGTGTAAATTAAAAGGATAAAATATTATAATTATCTACCTTAGGACTTTATAACAATTGCATTTTATTTTATTTATTTATTTATTTAGTCATTTAGCAGACGCTTTTATCCAAAGCGACTTACAAATGAGGACAATAAAAGCAGGTAAAACTAACAAAAGAGCAACAATATGAGCAACAATAAGTGCAAATGACAAGTCTTGGTTAGCCTAACGCAGTACACGTATGCCAATGGGCGGTGACGTGATAACATTTACCGGGCAAAAAAAAATTTTACCGGCCATGAAACTCTTTTTGCAAAAACAGGCAGTCATTACTACTAATGACTAAACATATTTACAAAGTTTTTAATTTGTCCTTTGCTTTACTTACAAGAAGAAAAAAACAAACAGATTTATTGATTTATCTTTTTTTTTTTTGGTCCCTAAAAAACGTTGAGATTCTTGTCCTTTGCATGTTTTCGGCAAACGGAGCAGGCCATCGTGTTACGCCCGTTTCACACATACTCAGTTTGCAGTGTGTATGTGGTGCATATTTTTTTCCCACACCCATATTAACGGATTAGAGCAGTGCTATTCAATTAACTTCATTTGAGGGCCAGATTATTGAACTGAAAATTTGAAGGGCGCCAAGGGGGTGGGGGCCGTCCCGATCTCTTTCTGGGGGGACCTATAAAATTAGAAATTAAATTGAAATCTAAAATCTATAAAAGGTTAAGATTAGTGCTGTCTTTCAATCGATTAAAAAAACAATTAATCACACATTTTTCTGTAGTTAATCATGATTAATCTCATTTTTATATTGTCATAATTTCACATTGAACCTCCAAATTAATGTAGAAACAACATAAAGATAGTATATTTTAAATATGTTTTTAATGGCATCTTTTTACTAAGTAGCCTATTATTTTTTAACATTTAACAGGATCTGAAATATTAAGTGATTTTAAAACAATTTTCACATAATGCATAAACTATACAGATTAATCTTTATTCAAGCTACGAAAGTTAATCAGCAACTAGAGCAGTCGAGTGATTTCTCTTTTTCTTTTGTTCTTTTGCAGGTTTTACTTTAAAGGCAGCACTGTCTCTTTAAAACCTGATGATGCGGATCTGACACATATCTTATTTTCTCCAAACTCTTTAAGGTCATTTAAGACTTTATAACCCATTTAAGACTACGTTTACGAGGTAACTCGCCAAAACCGCACGTTTTGGCATAATTGTGTGTGTTTTCGTCCGTTGAAGCGCTACTGGTGCGCTGTCTAAAGCGGTTCAGTGTATGTGTACAGCCGAACGTAGCCTACTTCTCTGCAGTGTTTAGGCGGCGTAACCCCAGGTTTGTGTCGCCACATTCTCGGGTTATGAAGAATAAAGAAGGGAAAAGTTAATCTTCCGAAATGAAGCAGCAATATCTTCTCAGGTAAAAGTTATTAGAACCGTGTCTAGGGACAAGCGGGCCATCACACTGCTCTGACCTTATCAGCCCATTTGTATCTTATTATTTGATTCGCTCTTGTCGCTTATGACAGAACAGCTAATCACGATGATCTTGTCTTCGGAAAAGATTATTTTATCTGCTTACGTCAGAAACAGCGAATCTTTTTAAAAACTGGCTGTTGTTCTCACTACATTGCATTTGTTATATTTCGTAAAAGTTTTACCAGCCAACTGGCGCCTAACACTGTTACATATACTCGCCAACGCCGATTTTTACTCGCATTTGGAGCTTGGCGAGTGTTAATTTTAGGCCCTGCATCCTAGTATTAATTTCTTACAAAAAAAACAGTGTAAACAGTAGACAGCAAGGCAGATCACTAGGGTTAAAAGCCAGAGTTCAATGCACTTACGCTTCAAGTACTCACACCACAGAGATTTTAATATATCTTACAATATTACAATGATTGATTATTAATGACTAAATCAAACACAACAGACAGTAATTTTTTTCAACAAATCACACACACACACACACACACACCGTAAGAGCCAGTTCAATGAACATGATCAGATTCTGCTATAGATACTGAGTTTCATACACATTTCTTACAGTTATAGTTTTTCATCCACAGCAGAGAATCTCAATGGGTCTTATTGATTGATTCTTATTTTAACCTTCCCAAAATATCATTTTTTCTTACTTGCTGGCATTAAACACTGGTAATAAAAAGGAGTGTGAAACTAATAACAGCACTGACAGTGATCAGAAGGAAATGTCTGGTGTGTTAGAAGACATTTGAAGACAAATGTCATAATTCATAATCTGTGTTCGTTTCACTTTTGATCATTGTATATGAACATCAGAATAAAAGCATCTGTTAATTGTGTCTCATCAGCTCCTGTGATTCTGGATCCAAACACTGCAAATCCATCTCTCACTCTATCTGATGATCTGACCAGTGTGAGACGGTGCAACTGTCAACCTCTTCCTGATAATCCAGAGAGATTTGACCGTTATCGCTGTGTTCTGGGTTCAGAGGGCCTTGATCTTTTGACATACAACAGGTCAATGTATAGGGTGACCAGATTTCTCATGGTGGAATATGGGACGGGTGGGCAATATGACCACGATATGAGAAATTTTATTTCTCATGGACATGTCCCCACCACTTTTTGCCAGGGTCGATATTGTCCCTACCACTTTTTGAAAGTAATTGAAAAATATCTTGCGTAAGTTATGTATTAAAGGGAAAACAAGATCAACAAATCTTGCGTAAGTTATGTATTAAAGGGAAAACAAGATCAACAAATCATTCTTCATAATCTAATTCATACATGTAACACATTTTTCCGACGGCCAAAAGCTTTTCTATGCCCTCAACAATTAATTATTAAATCTCATTGTGAAACTTATAAGTAAACTACATATCGCGAGACACGCGATATGCGTCATGGGATAAGTAATCTACAGATTCCTGCACCTTTCTCTTTGCAATGTTCTTATTGTTTGGGTACTGTTTCAAGGTTGAAATATTTTATTTGAGATTTTGAGAAAATTAATGGGACAATATCTCTGGTACTGAAAAGTGATGACTTAAAACGATTGCGGTGAATTGACGATTCAGAAGAACGGAAATACCATCTTCCTCAACTATGCAGGTGAGTTCACTTGAGGCTCGTCATGGTTATTATTACAATTCATACTTATTATCAAAGCATATATAGCAAAGTGTTACCTGAAAATTAAGTGATAAATAATTCATTTTGTAAACTCTTATTTGATACAGTAACGATTGAGCACGTGAAGCGGTTTATGCGTGACGTTAGCTAGCTAATGAGATTTAGTGGTAAGCATAATTAACAGATTCATATAGTTTTGAGAGTAGTAGATGATAGTTAACAAACTAAAACTGATAAACTATTAACTAAGATTAAACTTATGATACACGGACACAACTCTTGAGGGTCTAAATACAATGAATCGTCTTTTATTGTTAACTAATGTTTTAATTCTGTAACATCGTTCGTTTTAGTGATCCCGTTTGATGTCAGCCTTACCTCTTTAGTCCACGCTTGTGATAGGTAAAATCCTGAGGGAAAAAAAAGATGTAAGTATGTTATTATTGTTGTTATTTTATTATTATTATTTATTTCCAATTATATTTACTTTGTAGCACAACCTTAGAGACAAATTATATACCAACATTATATTTTTAATTAAATGCTTAAAATACTTAGTATAACAAAATATTGAGCAACAAAGATAGATGCTTTTGGTAGAGGTCAACAGTAATCTTGTTTATTAACAATAAATAACATCAATATGTTTATGAACACCTTAGAATGAACTGTAATAAGAAATAAAAAGAATATTGTAATGGATGTATAAAAAAAACAAGAAAAGAAGCAGAGTGTCAGAGTAGCTTCTTTTTAGGTTTAGTTAGTTTTGTCCACTAAAATGAACCAAAAACCTGAGCACGCCTCTCTGAGACCTTAATGAATTCCTGGCTTATTTTTTTTGTGTCTGATTTATTTGTTCTGTATTTGTGAACATGACAGACAACAACGCTGTTCAGACGGTTCTGGGACATTGTGGAGCGAAGCCATGTCTTCAGGTGCCGGAGAGCACTGAAGCTTCTCTCTGCCTCAGCTGATGATGCAGGAACCACGAGTTCTGTCAGGACCACTATCGTCAAAGATGACTGACAATGAGCATACAGTTTGGATTGGCAGTATGGTTCTGTTCTGGCTATCTAAGCATTCATATATGTGTCGTATTCCCATAGGTTGATGGGGATCAGCTGAGAGTCAGCTGATGCGAGCTTGACTAACGTGACCTGCCAGAACTAACGCTACGCTAGATAAGTAAGAGGACCAGAGTCTCCACTTGCTTGAAGAGTCTACGGACCTCAGGTACCATGTTCTTCAAAATATTGACCACTTCTGTACAACTTTGGTATTTATAATTTGCACGAAACATGGCCATCTGCACCTTTAAGGACTGGGATTCCAGCTCTGAGTACAGTTCAACAATGTTGTTGACTTGTCCAGAGATTAGGACATTTTCAAGCATGAAAATGTTGCGCAGACCCTCCTGTTCAAATCGATGCGTCAGCTGTGTCATCACTGTATCAAGAACTAGGAAGAACTGCACACGATAGTACTCCTCAGCTGTAGTCAGAATGTAGGGCTGAGCTGGGCCAGCATGTCTTGTAGAAGGCCTTCTTAAATGTGGTACTGTTATCACCTCAAGGTCCAGTGATGTTACCACCTCAGATGCCTGTATGTAGAGCTCTCTGAAACTTTCATCTGATCTTTTGTTCTGAAAGCCATTTTTGACACACTCAACTGCACTTAGCATGCCTCCGACTGTTGCTTCTCTCCCTTGCAGTGAGGTGTTCAGGCCTTCAAGACCTATCATGATGTCCTGTGCCAACAGCAGTCCAAAAACAGTGTTTCCTCGAAGGCCATTGGCTTTGGAGGCATTGTCATGTGTGCTGGATGATGCCATTTCCTCCAGTGCTGTCAAGACAGCTTCATATTGGGTGAGGACAGAATTGATGGCTGGTGTACGCACTGTCCATCTAGTTGGACACAAAGGTTTCAGTGTTGTATAGCAGCCAGATATAGATTTTGCCACAGACTTAAAAATTGTTTTAAATTTGCCTGACTGGCCAAATAAACAGCCCAGCTCATGGATCCATTGCAGAAAATCCCGAATTATTGGTCCGGCTGAACAGGCTGCTGGTGTGACCAAGTTCACCCAGTGTGGGCCACAATGAACAAAGGTAGCAAGCGGTAAATTGCTATGGTTTCCCCTCATTTATTTCATATTTTAAAATAAATAAACAGAAAAACATTACTTTAAAATTAAAACTGCATTAGTTAAGCAAATTACAAAGTTTTATAGAAAACGTAGAAACAAGTAGTTCAATGCCTAATACAGCTTTTCAAGCTATTTTATATTAATGTTGTATAGTTCACAATTAACTTATATTACAATGAAAACTTTGTTTATAATTTTTCATTGTAATATAAGTTAATTGTGAACTATAAAACATTAATATAAAATAGCTGCATTAAACTGCATTGTACTGTAAATAAGATTATTTACCATACAATGCAGTTCAATGCCTAATAGAGCTTTTCAATCTATTTTATTTTAATGTTTTATAGTTCACAATTAACTTATTACAATGAAAATGTAGAAACAATCTTATTTACAGTACAGTGCAGTTCAATGCAGCTATTTTATTTTAATGTTTTATAGTTCAAAATTAACTTATATTACAATGAAAAATTATAAACAAAGTTAATTGTGTACTATACAACATTAATATAAAATAGCTGCATTGAACTGCACTGTACTGTAAATAAGAATCTTATTTACAGTACAATGCCGTTCAATGCCTAATACAGCTTTTCAAGCTGTAATACCACCAATATGCTTGCAATTTCAGTGAACTCTAATGAGATACATGAAACTGGTCCTTATTTTTCAAACGTTTTTCCAAATTGGGCTGCAGCTGACTTACAGACAAAGTCAGGATATTGTGTAGGTGAGAGTCTGTTAGTTTGCTTCTCAGTTTACACTTGTTCAAGTTCATCAGACTGAAAGTCTGCTCACAGAGGTAGGTACTGCCAAACAGAGACAGCATCACTTGTGCCTGTTTGCACATCTTTGGGTACCTGTTTGCTGGGACACATTTGTAGAAGTCTGTCAAGGGAAGGGACCTGAACTTGAGTTGCAGTTCTGAATCACACTGAAGCTCAATTAGTTTCATCTGAAGATCGTCACTGACTGTGTTCACACTGATGGTGAAGGGTTGAGCAAACAATTCAAAGTCAGTAGCATTCTGTCTGAAGTCCTCAAAGCGACTGTCAAACTCCTGGATAAGGTTGCTGAGAACAGCATCATACTCTGGGACCTCCTCTTTCATCATGCCTGCCTCTCTGAGACAGGGAAAATGGGCTAAATTCCCTGGATGTGCGGTGAGAGAGAACGAGAAGGGAACAATGTGAGACTGGGAGTGAAAGAAAAGCAGGCATGTAAAAAGGGAGGCGAATAGAATAAATAACTGACAAAAAGAGGGAAATTAATCTATTAATCCAGTGGTTCTCAAACTTTTTTGGTCACGCCCCCCTTTAAACCTTTAAAAATAATCCCCCCCTAAAAAAACCCCACCCCACCTCTTATCACTACAAAATAATTTCTCTAAAAACTATAAAAACGTAAACATTTTCTAAATGGAAAAACCTGCAATGAAAAACACCTGCTACAGTTTCACTGTGCGCTCCATTTGAGAACCACTGCATTAATCCATGATAATTTAAAGGGGTCATATGATGCGATTTCAATTTTTCCTTTCTCTTTGGAGTGTTACAAGCTCTTGGTGCATAAAAAAGATCTGTAAAGTTGGTGAATATTTTAATTGTGAATGTTACCTGCTGACAGATGTCTTCTGAGCAGCAGTAGTTTTTGTTTGAAGGCTCTGACATGATCAAAAAGCTGGGGGATAATCTGGTCTTTTCCCTGAAGCTGAACATTCAAAACATTGAGCAGCTCTGTGACATCCACAAGGAAAGCCAGGTCAGAAAGCCATTTCTTTTCCGTGGACACTTGAATATTACCATTCTTGCTTTCCTGAAGAACTCTGATCTCATCATGCAGATCAAAAAATCTCCTGAGAACTTTTCCTCGGCTCAGCCATCTAACCTCCTGGTGGTACAACACATCACCATATTGTGCATCCATCTCATCCAACAGTACCTTGAATTGCCAGTGAGACAACGCTTTGGAGCGTATATTGTTGACAATTTTAACGACGTCACGCATCACACCCACAAGCCCGATGGATTTGGCACATAGCTGTTCTTGATGTAAAATACAGTGGTACTTAACCACTTTTCCCCCACATTCACTGACTTTCTGAGACACTAAGGTAGCAAGGCCAGATTTCCTCCCTACCATTGCCGGGGCTCCATCAGTTGTAATGCCAGCCATATTCTCCCAGTTTAATTCATTCTTTTTCAAAACTCTCTCAACAGCAAAAAACAGATCCTCTCTTTTAGTAGTACCAGAAAGGGTCTCGATGCCAGCCAGCTCTTGTGTTACTTCGAAATTTTCATTTACTCCACGTAGAAATAGCAACAGCTGTGCGGAATCTGATATATCGGTGCTCTCGTCACAAGCTATTGAAAAGGCAGAGAAGGTACCTGCCTTTGCCTTGATTTGCTCACCGATGTCTTGTGCCATGTCCTCTATGCGTCGGGTAACGGTATTCCTTGACAAGCTGATTTGCGAGAACATTCGCGTCTGGGTAGGACACACTGCTTCTGCAGCCACAGCGAGGCATTCTTTGACAAATTCTCCAGTAGCGAAGGCTCTTCCACTTTTAGCAATTAGTGCGGAAATCTGATAGCTGGCCCGCGTGGCACTTTCTTGAGTTGATGATGGACGTAGCAGCGCGTTCTGCTCAGATCGAAGTTTAGCAAGCAGCTCGTTAGCCTTCTGTTTTCGCGCCTCACCACTGTACTTTGAGAAAGCTTGAGAATGTTTTGCTTCATAATGACGACGGATATTGTACTCTTTCAAATCAGCAACTGACTGTTTACAAACTAGACATACTGCCCTTGAATTGATTTCGGTAAATAAAAAAGCATCTTGCCAAACTTTTTTACATTTTCTTTTGTCCGTGTGCCACTGCCTCGACCTCTCCATTATTGCCCGAATGTTCATTGACGTTGAGCGTCGCAAAGCACATGAAGTGCGCATGTTATTAAAAAAAAAATCTAATTCACTTATATTTTCTACATTTAATTTTAATTTACATTTTTGTAGCTCAAAAAAATGTGTTATGTTAAATTAGAAATGAAAATCTGCGTCTAGTTTTTTTTTTTTCCTCTCATATATGGCATGGCGGGCCAAATCAAAGGTTACTGCGGGCCAAAGTGGGCCCTAGTTTGGGCACCTCTGGTTTAGACGGAGGAGGACATCAGAAGCAATCTTGCCTATTTGCTCACCAGTTGTGGAAGAAGCTTCATAAAGGCCAACAAACTCCTCTCTTGGTTCCAGGTCTGTGTCAGCATAACGTATGCAGATAGACACCTGCTCAACACCACTGATGTCCTGTGTCCCATCCATTATTATTGAATATTGCACTACTGGTAAAGCAGCAATTTCCTGTGCAATTTCGCGAATTATACTGTTGCTCATTAAATTCATTATTTCATTTTGAATCGCAGGGCTTGTGTAGCAGTGATTTCGTTTGAGCCAGCTTGCCAGACAAGGATCACTCTCTGTCATGAAGAGGAGAAGCTGGTGGAAATTTCCTTCCTCTTGGTTGTGTCCCCTCAGAGGCAAGCCTTGTTGGGTCAGGTATTTAATAATAGCATTCACTACCTTTAACAAATTTAAACTTGCCTCCTCTTGTGCGGTTTTTGAAATGTTGGACAGTTGCACTTTTATCGACCTTTCTGAGTGTATGAATGTGTTCACTGCAATGCTGTGTGCTTTGCTGTTCGTATGCTTCTCAAAGGCTTGTGGACCATGTTTCCAGTTACGGAAGCCTTGAGAAACGAATGCTTGCTCTGCATTTTTGGCCAATGCGGACGTCTGTTTGGAGAAGGCTAATGCAGTAAAAACACAATACTC